GTGTGTGTGTGTGTGTGTGTGTGTGTGTGTGTGTGTGTGTGTGTGTGATGTGGCCAGGGTAAAAAAACAGACCCATCATTGCAAGGCTAGAACTCCAAGCTTTGCCATGCACACAGCCAAGTATCTTCATATTCAGAGCGATATGAATTTGCCCAAGCAAGGGGTATTTCAGCAGGCAGCACCCACCCACATCCTGTGACCCCCTCCTCTCCTCTCATACTTCCAACTACAAGTAGCTTCCACAGATCACACTGATTCAAGATCAGAGCTTTAAAATTCCAGCACATAAGGGAGTATTTCCCGAAATGGAGTTAATGCTCTCTAGAAAGAAGAAAGATGATTTTAGGTTGGACAAAAACCCCAGTATGTATATGTGACAAACAAAAAAATTAACACATAGGACTTCCCCAGTGGTCCAGTGGTTAAGACTCCGTGCTTCCACTACAGGAGCCATGGGTTCAATCCTAGGGGAAGTTCTGCATGCCGCACAGGCGGCCAAAAAAAAAAAAAAAAAAAAAAAAAAAGAATTAGCACATCAACCCTGTATTTCACAGTAATTATTAGCATAAATTTGGGTTTTAAAAAGTGAGCTGATTTAGAGAATAGCCAGGAAACATGCAGAGAAGGTAAATCATGAAGCTGGTATCAATGAATAAAGTTTAGGAAACACTGGTTGAGTGGAAGCATCATGCAGAAGTGAAGAGAGGAGCATCCCAACCAGTGGGACTTGACAACTCCCTGCTAAGCACACAGCAAGAGCTGGCAGACGCAAGTTTCAACATCAAGGGCTTAACCTTTTTTTCTTCACAATCTGGAAACACTAAGATCTATCCTAAGCCAGTGATTTATTTTGTGAACATCTAGATTTTTCTCAAATGTCTGTATTCAAAGATCTAACATCGTAAGTGGTCACCATCAAGATTATATACTAGAATATATTGTTAACGTCACACATTTATATTTGAACATTTAAAAACTGATCAAAGGGACTTCCCTGGCAGTCCAATGGTTAAGACTCCGTGCTTCCAATGCAGAGGGCACGGGTTGGATTCCCGGTTGGGGAGCTAAGATCCCACATGCCACGCAGCACAGCCAAAAAAAAACCTGATCAAAGAATATTCAATAAATCCTCAGTTACAGCAACAGTAAAGAGCACTTAATTCCCCAAAGCTGAATTAACATCAGCTTCATTTTCCAGTCTTAACATAAACCTGCTTATTAATATTTGTCCTAGCAGAAGGGCTAGAGCAGGGGTTCCTAACCTGGAATCTATGGACCCTTCACCCTCACTCATCCCCAGAAGGATTAACTTCAGAGCTTCTATGACTTCTGTAATAATACAGTTCTGAATATACCCATTTTTCTTCTGCGGAGTGGCTCTACAACATTCTTGTGATGCTCAAAAGACCCTGTGACCCCGAAACAGATTGTGGCAAAAGCTAGATAACTTTCATTTGTTACCTGCGGGCCAGGAAACTGCCTCCCCTTTTTTTAAGCAAAGGGGAAACAGTTAAAGCAATTTCATTTTAATTTAGACCAGCATTCCCCGTCCTCCCCCTGCCCCAATTACCAGGAGGCCAAAATAGGGAGCGAAAGGACAGAAGGAAGAAAGGAGCACAGGATGTCGCCTCCAGACAGCATCACTTCCCTATCACACAGAGTGATCCTGTTGCAGAAACACAAAGGAAGACCAATCTCAAAGAAGTGATCAGTTTACTACAGAGGTAGATGAAATACGTGCAAAGCCCAAAGGATGGTTTAATGAGATACAGAACAAAAACCATTCTTTCAGATCTGGGTATTTGTAGGAACTAATGGATAAACTCCTCCACAGAGCAGACCAGGGTACAAATATATAAATGTGATAAGGAGTGGGGGATGTGTTCCATCCAATAAAGCCTCACTTACAGAGCAGGCAGACTGAGGCCACAGTAGTTTGTCAACTGACGCAGTAGATATTAAACTGGAGAAGTTTAAAACAGAGGTGCCAGGAGTTTAATTATTTAGCGGTGTTTCAAAGTCATCTGAAAATATGCTTACCATTTTCAAATTTGATTTTAAATTTTCAGGAAAAATAATATAAAGCAGATTTATAAAAATGGTTACAAAGCAAATGAACATATAGCAAACACGAAGAGAAGTGTAAAAACTTCCTATAAAGAGTTGGGTTGGGACTTCCCTGGTGGTCCAGCGGTTAAGACTTCACCTTCCAAGGCAGGGGGTGCGGGTTCCATCCCTGGTCGGGGAGCTAAGATCCCACATGCCTCGGGGCCAAAAAAAAAAAAAAAAAAAAAAAAAACCCAAAACAGAAGCAATATTGTAGCAAATTCAATAAAGACTTTAAAAATGGTCCACATCAAAGAAATCTCCAAAAAAAAAAAAGTTAGGTTTATAAAATAGATACACAGATTAACAGCCATGTCCCAAACCTGATGCCATGTACTAGTGGCCATTAAGTCAATTTTGAATGTAGGGAGTATACCAAGTAGATAAGTGATTTTCAGCACTGAAGCCAATTTCCCCTGCTTGATAAGATCCTCTCGCCAAGAACAAACTTAACATTTAAAAACTAAAATTAATCTCACTTGTAAAAACCACATATGAAAGACCACTCACAAGGATGGCAGTACTTTATCAACTTAACCGCCTTTCTCCTACACTAAGAAAAAAAATACCTGAAAATAAAAACAGACGTTGTAAACTGCTGTTCTTATATATCAGTATCTTGCAGTTATTTACTCAGATGCATTCCTGACAATGACAGGGATGAAACAAATTGAGCTACCCTACCTGAGTAATAGGTAGTGCAGATGGGACCTGTTCAGTGTGCCATGTCTGCCTCAGCGCTAGTTAATGTAAGCAGGGAACAGGTAAGTCATTAGGCTTCATCAAGGCCTGGACATCCACACCCGTTCAACACACTGAGACCGTGTGATCTGACTCCCTACTTCTGCAAACTTCCTAGTTACCTGAGGGTACCTAGACAATAGAAAGACTATGCCTTATCCTCAGAGAATTCTGATGAGAAACAACTTCCCCTTGGTAAATAAATTAATAACCTGTTTATAGTTAAAAATAAATTAAAGCAGAGGCAGGTATAATTTTTTAAAAAATCAATTATATGGACAAGTACAAATTTAAAGTCCTTTGTATATTCAAATTTTTATAAGGAGCTATTTATTGAGGTATAATTCACATTTCATTCACCTATGAGTGGAACTGCTTGATCATATGGTAATTCTGTTTAGTATTTTGAGTTAAGTACCAGACTATTTTCCAAAGCATCTACAACATTCTACATTCCCACCAGCAGGATTCCAATTTCTCCACATTCTCATTAATACTTCCTAGTGGGTTTAATTTGCATTTCCCTAATGACTAATGATGTTGAGCATTTTTTCATGAGCTTATTGGTCATTCGTACCTTCTTTAGAGAACTGTCTATTCAGATCCTTGGCCCATTTTTAAATTGGGTTGTCTTTTTATTGAGTTCTAAGAGTTCTTTATATATTATAAGCACAAGCCTCTTGTCAGATACATGATGTTCAATTATTTTCTCACATTCTGTGGGTTGTCTTTTCACTTTCATGACAGTGTCCTTTATTATTATTTTTTTCAGCAAAACATTCTTATTTTATTTTTATCTCAGCAAATGTTCTCATTTGGCACCTGACTGGCACCAAACCAAAGCCCTTAGGCCAACAGGTGTGGGCTGAGACCACCTGCAAACTTCCCATGTGTAGGTCTCAATGGCTATGCACATCAGAGCACCTATTTCTCTCTCTAGTCCCTTAGGGTGGCCTAAAGGTCTCAGGTGCGCTAACAGTGCTGGCCACGAGGTGGTGGAAAAGTTGTGACGCTGAAATCTGCTGGGATAGGAAACCAAGCAGTGCCCTGAAAGCAAGTTCTTTTCTCAGGTGACAGATACCCAGATAGGGTCCTGCTCATGCTTATTCAACATACTCCTGTCTGCCTGGTGACACTTTTTAGAGCTCAAGCATCTAAGGAAGTCTTGTCTGGCAGGATGGGACAGTAAGCTCTCAGGTCAGCACTGTTGGCCTGGGGAAATCCCGAGTCCAGCTTTGCAGCCTTTGCACAGTGGGTACTTTCCCAGGATCCATGATAATACTCAGAGCCCATCAGGACATTTTACTTATATGCGGTTTCCAACTGTCAGAGGAGTTCAGGACTGTCTGGCCTTCTCAGGATCTCAATTCAAGATTAGCTATTCAAAGCATGAAATAAGAGGGAATACGTTTTAAGAATCAAGGCTGCTCTTTTCAGCCCTGCTGAGGGAACAATTTCAGACATGACTTTTAGAGAGGAAGCTGGGCACTCAGCAGGGCACAAGGTGGCTTTCAGACCAAGACTCCTCCTCCTCTGGTGTGGCGGAGGTGGGACCTCAGCGTGGGGCCCCGCATTCTAGCTTTTCTTCTGCGAGCCTAGTTGACCGGCGGGCAGGGATCATGAGAAGCTGCAGGAGAATGAAGACCGGAGACGTGATCAGGCCGAACCAGAGCTCCCGAGTCTGCTCCACCAGCTTCTGGCACAACAACATCTCGAAGACGAACTTCAGGCTAAGAACCGTGAGGACCCAGAAAAGGTGGAGCACGGCCAGCCGCTTCTCTCCGACCTGGAAGAGGTGCACGGAGACGACAGTAGTGAAGTTGGTGCTGAGCCGGTCAGCGGCGAAGAAGGGCACGAACACGTTCCACCAGGAGAGGCCCGGAGCCAGGCCGTCCACACGCAGGGCCAGCAGCACGAACACCGACAGGGCCATCAGGTGCACGAAGACCTCGAAGGGAGCGAAGCCCAGCAACTGCACCAGCTCCCCGAGCGCGGAAAGCATCGCTCCGGTAGAGCGCGGGCCAGGGCCCGGGCGACGGTCTCACCCGCCTGGCTGCGCCGCCACTCCCCACGGGCCTCGCTGGCGCCTGCGCCGTCGTCGCGGCCAGCGAGCTGCAGAAAGTGGCCCTGCCTGCCCTGGCTCTCGGCCCCAGCCCAGGACCCAGCACTGGCCGCCAGCTGATGCCCGCCTTGCTCGGACGCCACGCCCCGCTGGGCGCCGACAGTGTCCTTTAAAGCAGAGAAGTTCTTAATCTCAAGGAAGTCCAACTTATCTGTTTTTCTCCTTGGTTGCTTGACTTTTGGTATCATATCGAAAACACCACTGCCTAATCCAAAGTCATGAAGACTTGTAATTATATTTTCTTCTAAGAATTTTTAGTTTTAGCTCTTTAAGTTTGGCTCTTTGATCCACTGTGTGTTAATTTTTGTACATGCTATGAAGAAGGGAACATTGGGGTTTGGGATAAAAGCTGGGCAAGGTCCTGGATGGGTTGGTAAAAATCTAAATCTCTCCACAGAGAATCTCCATACCTGACCAGCTCTTGGCTACCTATGCCTCATCCCTGAATGCTATGACAGGGAAGTCTAAATACAAAGAGGAGGTGCAGAGAACCAATAATTACAAAATATTGAGAAGAAAAACTAATCCAATAAAGTATCAAATGCAACAAAGAAAGTAATGCCTGAAAAAACTGGGTTGTAACAGGGTACAGAACCGGGGGGGGGGGGGTAGCATGAGTATAATTAAAATACAGAGTATAAGGTAAGAGGATAGTTTTTCAAAATCTGATTTCATATTCTGATTGTTAAAATTTTAAAACTTAGTAGATAGCTGAACTGGAGAAGAGTCAAATAATAATAAAAAAAATCCAGACACCTAACAAAAAAGCAAACCAAAGACTGGGAAAAATATTTTGCATAATATGAAACCAATAAATTACTTATTTGCAATCTAGAATATATAAAGAACTCTTACAACAAAACAAATTTCTAAAACATGGACAAAAGTTTTGAACAGAAACTTCATCAAAGATGTAATGAGAATTGCAAAACAATAAAGCTCATGAAAACATACTCAACATCACTAGTTATCCAGGAAGGGCAAATCAAAACCACTACATGCTCACCAGAATGCTAGAAATTCTAAAGACTGACCATACCAAGTGATGATCTAGGAGCAGAGCAGCTGACACTCTAATACACTGCTGGTGGGAATGTGCCAAAACAAAAACCGATTTCGGAAAACAATTTTTTGAAAAGTTAGTAGCATATACCTATGATAGGATCCAGCCAATCCATTCCTAGATATTTAACCAAGAAAAATGAAAGCACACGTTCGCAGAAGTATATGAATATTCGTAAATGCTTTATTTGTAATCACTAAAAACTCCAACAACCCAAAAGCACATCAACAGATGAATTAATAAATAAATTCTGGCATATAATACAATGGAATACTATTCATGAACTACTTCTCAAAGTAACTGTGCTGAATGAAACAACTCAGCACTCCTGACCCCAAAGAGAACACGCTAAATGATTCCATGCATTTAAAGTTTCAGAAAATACAAACTAATCTAAACTGTCAAAAAGCAGATCTATTTTTGCCTGGATACTGGGGAGGTAGGGAAAGAAAAGGATTACAAATGGGAAAGAGGAAATCTGGGGAGTGATGAATATTTTCATTACCTTGATTAGAGTGATAGTTCCATGGGTACAATATATGTATATGCATATAGGTGAATACACATCAAAACTCAAGTTATACATTTCAATTTTAAATACGTGCAGTTTACCATATGTCACAATTATACCTCAATAAAGCTATTTAAAAAACAAAAATTTGGAAGAAGGCCTAACCTAGAGAACTAGCCAAGCCAAAGAAAACTTCAGTGAGCTAAAAGATCAAACCAAGGTGTTTTACAATACTGGGCAAAAAGACAGAGTGTGTATGGAGCTTGTTGAGACACGGGAGACAGAACCATAATATCAATAAATCTAACAGGAATTCCACCAGAAAAGGGGATGGGGAGGAATGCCCAAAGAAATAACACATTTTGTGTCTAGATTGGAAAAGATTGAAAAATATTAGAAAATACCCTATACCTAGATAGAAAAAGGTAAAATTTCAGAATACTAAAAATAAAGTGAAAATTTCTTAAAGCTTCTAAAAAGATAAAACGGGTTTTACCTAGAGCAGAGAAATATGACTGACAGATATCTCATCAGCCAAAAATAAAACAGTATATTCCAAACTGAGGAGGCTTTAAGTTTTAGCTACACTGTCTTCATTTCCTTCGTTTTGGAAGAAAAACTTATATATTATCTAACCTGAAAAAAAAGGACAAAGTTCACAGACTAAATTCTAGAAAAAGCTAATATAATTGTACATTTTTCATTTTTTAAAGTTTTCTTTAAAAATCGAAGACAAGAAAAATATATAAAGCAATGGTGAGCAAAGAAACCAGTAAGACTTGCTGGTAACATCTAAGTAAGTGTTGATTTTAATTTCTTCTCCTTTTCATGTCTGAGGAATAACTTACATACAATAATTTTCATTGATTCCAAGTGCACAATCCCAATGAGTAGACAGTTGCATGTATTGTGAAACCACCACTACACTAATGATACAGAACATTTCTATCACCTCTGAAAGGTTCCTTGTGCCCGTTTGCAATCTGTACATCCTTCAGCCAGCCAATGATCTCCTTTTGCCACTACATTAGTCTGTATTTTACACAGTTAAAATTTGATTTTAATTTAGTAACAAGTTAAAACCCCAAAAATATTAAGGTAGGAATAATTTAATAGTAGTCTAATAAAAGACATTCTCAAAGTGGGTTAAAGAAAACCTTATAGCACTATAAATAAATGCTATTTATAGATAAAAACCTAAAATTATAACACATACTGGCTGAAAATAAAGTAGATCTTGGCTAACAAAAAGAAATGTAGAAGTGGCATTATTCCTGAAAGCAAACTATTTAGAATTCAAGTCAAAAGGTATTAACAAAGCAAAGATATTCTCTATTAATAAAAAGTAAACAAAACACATCAAGAAGATACAGCATAAAAGCCATGAACATTTGTGATGCTAAGTGGCTTAAGATATGTAAAGCAAAATTTATCACAATCATCTGTAGAGATTTTAACGTACCTCTTCCAGAAATCCACAGATCAGGTAAACAATAACAAAAAGGATAATATTTTAAAAACACAACTAATAGTTATTTAATATATGTAAAACTTTGTAGTCACCAGAAAATATACTCTTTATAAACCTGGAACATTGCCTCGAAACTGACCATGACTTAAATTTCAAAAAAACCAAACCAAAACAAAATAAAAAATAACCTAAAAAAAAAAAAATCAAGGCCACATTTTTCAAAATCAAAGTATGTTAGAGAAGTATAACAAAAATTTAGAAAATGGACTGCTAAATAACCTTTGGATTAAAAAGACAACAAAACCCAAAACATTCAAAATTCAAAACAATCATGTAGCCAAAGCAGAACACAAAGGAAAATCCAGAGCCTTATACGCATTCACTAAAAAACCAGACTAACCAAAAAAGCCAGGTTTTAAATTCAAGAGTAAAATAAATTCAAGGAAAGTAGGAGATTTAAGATACAAGCACAAGTTAATGGAAACAAATGCAAAAAAAAATCATTAATTTTACCAATAAAACCAATTTCCAACTAGTAAGCTCGAAAATAGATGAAATATATGATTTTTAAAGAAAATAAACATATTCAAATCAGAAGTTGTTACAAGAAATAAAGAGCTCTATCCCTAAAAGAGACACTATGTCCAAATGGCTTTAGTTCTCCCAATTTTCAAGTAGATTCTTTCTCTACACACGAGCTGTCCTTTTTGTATGCTCCGTAAGTTACCTAAATCTTTATAAGGCTAGCACTCTCCAGATACCAAAACTAAACAGACAGTACTCGCACAGATTTCACAAATTTATTTTATTTTAAACGCTTACATAGAGCTTACATGCTATAGAGTGATAATGACACAGGAACAGAGATACAGATTAATAACAAAACATAACAATAATCAAGAAAGGATCCATATAAAATCCACGTAACAAAGCGGGCACTTCAAATCAGTGAGAAAATGATGGACTATTCAATATATTTTGAGATAAGTGATCAGGAACAGCCTATAAAAGACTGTTAAATTTGTAATAATATTTATTTAAACAAGTACAATTTTTAAAATAAAAGAATTAAGAGACAAAAGACAGCAAAAAGACGAGCAGGTCGCTGTAAAGAAACGAAAACTGAGCAAACATAAATTGCAATTATCAGAGACACTGCAAATTAAACCAACCAAGACACCAGCATCCCAACAAACTGGCAAAAATTTTTAAAGAGTGATGATAACCAATGCTCAGAAAGTTGAAGGGAAACAAGTAATTTGATCCCTGCTGGTGAGAGTATACACTGGTACAGCTTTACTGGAGGACAATAAATTAATATAAAAATAAACATATACTATAAACTGGTGATTCCATTTCTCAGTGACTACCCTGGATAAATAGTTGCACACATGCACTGCACAATTTGCAAGAGAAAAATTGCAAACAATTAAATATTCATCACAAAGAAATATATATATATCTTGGATATATATCCCTACACTATGGAATATTATGCAATGACTCAAAGGAATGAGATAAATAAATGGGGGGGAGAGAGAGACAGAGACATGGAAACAGTCAAGACATATTAAGTGAAAAAAAACAAGTTCTAGAACATACATTCTTCCTATTACTCATGTAAAAGTGGAAAATTAATTATTCCTACATAGTCCATATATACTCATATACATACACACACACACACACATACATACATATACGCATATGTAAGTGTGTTGAAAAAGGACTGGTAGAAAAACTGATAAGCAATCATTATCTGTGGGAAAGACTGCGACTGGTAGAAGGCAGTGAAGAGAAACAATATATTCATGTATTCTTTTTTCTCCAATATCCAATTAGGAATACTTACAAATACACACAAAAGTTAAAAGAAATGTAAGTGAACACGCATAAACCCCACCTAGATTCTACAGTAAAGTCTACTGTATTTACCTCTTATCTATTCACCGTCTATTTTTTTTTTTAAGAATTTCAAGTTGCAGATGTCAGTACACTTAACCCCTAAATACTTCAACATTATATTAACTAAAATTGAGGGAAAATTGCATTCAGCAAAATACACAAATCTCCAAGGTACCATGACACGGTTGTTTAGAAATACATTCACCTCTATGATTCAAACAGCTATCAAGATACAGAACATTGCCAACACCCTATAAAGTTCTCATGCCCCTTCCCAGTCAATCCCCATGACCACCATCCTAGAGGCAAACACCATTCTGGGCTTTTCCCCAGCATAGGTAAGTATTGCTTGATTTAGAATTTCAAAGAAATGAAATTATATAGTATATTCTCTTTGGTAAAGCTTCTTTTCTGCTCAGCCTAATTGTGGGATTCACCCATGTTTTGTGTTACCTATAGTTTGCTCCTTTTTACTGTTGAGTAGTATTCCACTGTGTGGACACTGGTTTGTTTATCCATTCTACTGCCGGACACCTGGGCTCTTTCCAGTTTGGAGCTACTATGAATATTTTGTGTATTGTTTTGGACATATGTTTTCATTTCTCTTGGGTAAACTGCTGGGCATCATGGGGTAAGTGTATATTTACTTGTACAGTAAATTGTTAGACCTTTATCCAAAGTGGATATACCACATATGTTTTAAGAAGTATGATAGGTAACAGTGGTTACCCAGGGAAGAAGCTGAGGATGACAGTGGACTTATTGACTATTCACATCTGTACTATAAAAACTCAAATAATGAAGTTACTTTTGTCACATGAAAAAAAACAAAGCCAAGAGTCCACATTCCATTTAAGACATGTTCAGGTTTCTTGGATTAGCCTACGCTGACCACTAACTAACTTCTAAAGCATAGGTCAGCAAATCGTGGCTGCTGCCTGTTTTTGTAAATAAAATACTGAAACGCAGCTAGGCCACTAGTAAACATATTGTTTACGGCCGCTTTCAAGCTACTAACAGCAGAGTTGAGTAGCTGCAACACATACTGTATTCCTGGCAAAGCCTAAAATATTATCTGGTCCTTTAAAGAAAAAGTTTGCAGCCTCCTGTTCAAAAGCATTTATATAGGCCTTGATTTTCATTCCAATGTGACATCTGAAACTATCTCGTGCAACTTCTCCCTTACAGAGGAAACTAAGACCAAGAGATTTTTAATGACTTATCTAAGCTTAGATGGAGATGTGGAATTCTAATTCAGGTCTATATTCTGAATCCTAGTCTGATCATCTTCTCAGTATACTGGTAAATTTCTAAGACTTATCAAGCAAAAATACAAGGCCCACAGGCTCACTTTGACTACGATGCCCTATCTGGAAACTTCAATGAATTAGAAATTTAGTGGAACAGAATCATGGTGAGCTGAGGGGAATGATGAACAAGTTTCTCCACAAACAAGACTTTCATAGTGTGGAGCTATACCAATTAATCAAAATACTCTCAACTTTAGCCCAACGACCAGGTGAATCACAAGTGGAAACTGACTAAATGACAATTTATTCATCAAAAAAATAGTAAGTGCTTACTATGTGCTAGGTGTTGTAGGGACATAAAATGCACCTGTGATTCCTGCTCTGGGAGAACATCCAGCTAGTGGGAGCAACGTATATAAACAACTCTAATCCAGGATACAAAATTTTTAGGTGTTATAGACGATAAATGTATTATTTTCACCTGGGCAAGTCCGAGAAGGCTTATGGCAGAGAGGGCACTAGATCTATGAAGCAGGGGAGAATTTATGATGCAGAGAATGGAGGGCACGGGAGAGGGAATGAGCAGGGCATTCCAGACCAAGGGGCCTTAGACATACCCATTTGGCTATGACATGTGGTGTACAGGGAGCAGGGTATAAAATGACAGATTATATAAAGTTGGAAATGTAGTTCCAAGCCAATATGTAATATATCTGGAATACCAGGCTGTCTGGAACTGATTTAAACCTTCTGAAAGCAGTGGGGATCCCAACAGCTTTGGGGTATAGGGAGTAGCTTGACCAAAGCTTCAGCCTTAGAAATAATCTGATAGCAGTGAAGTTACACTGGTTTAGGTCACAATGATTCTAACTGATTCCTTGGATCTTTCTGGGGCTGCACCAGAAGAGCCTAACTTCCCCAGTCAACAACACTACACTTTTTATAAGCAGCAGATAAAAGTTGGAAAGCCAGTGGTCTCTTTAAACTAGGACCAATTTCGAAAGAAATTTACAAAAGATCTTCATCTAGTGCTTTAAGTTTTTTAATCAGAGAATTTACAAGAAAAGGCACTACCAGATCCTGAAAAAGTGGGGCAGGGTTGGTGGGAATATTGAGGGCTCTGCAATGTGCAACAGGTGGTTAGCATTATGAAGCTAGGAAAAACAAGCACCCTGGGCTCCCTCTGAATGCCTGTTTTCACAAGATACTGGAGGGTGGGGTGAGGTGGGGCAGTGGTGAGTAGGTCAGAGAAAATTAATTCCTGAATTAACTGTAGCAGTGGTAATGAGGGTGTGGGTCACCAAGAGATTCAAGAGATGTTATGGAAGTACAATTGGCATGGTTTGGCCAGGTTCAGAGCCCAGATGACAGAAATGGTAGTGACAGTCTTCAAAACTTGCAAATACAGAAGCAACTCACAACTTCAGTGGAGGAAGGGGAAAGAGCTCTGTTTATCAGTTGATAAACAAGGTACTGGAGTTGTCTAAGCCTCACTCTCAGGTTTATGGGATATGCAAGAAGCAACTGGAATCTCAGAGAGATGTTAACCAAGAAGTAAAATTTGTCATAATCTTTGCAATTGTTTTATGAGATGAAGAAGTTGAAAAAAAAAAACAAGGCCAAAGACAGCACCTGGGAAATCTACATCTAGGAAACAAGAGAACCAGGAAAGGAATGGCTAGAGAAGTATAGAGTAGGGGTAAGGGCCACTTTTATGGACCAGATACTGCCAACTGGCCAGAAACCATCAAAAGTACCTCGTGCTGTGGGCAAGGGTCAATTCCTTACCATGGCATCAGCAGAATACTAGGAGGAAGTCATAAATGAGAGCCAGCTCCACCAATGACTCAGTAACAAAGTTTAAACAGATATGGGGAGGTTGTTAAGTTAGGGAATTCTTCTTAAAAATATTATTAGTTAAATAGCACCCTGTAGGGAGAGGATGATACTATTAAATAAACCCCCATTAAATCTGAGAACAGGTAAGTTTAAAAAGAAAAAAAAAATCTTTATGTTCTCATAAGAGCCATATAAGAAGCAGAATAGAGCAATAAAGCAGGCCACAGGAGGCCTGGATAATTACCCTGGTTCTGTTATCCTAATCAGATGCACGACCGGGGCATGTCAAACTCAGCTGAGTCTCTTTCTCAGTCTCCCTGAGAAAGTTAAGTGGAAGCTTTTTCTGAACACTGAACTATAAAACCATCAGTGCTGAAGCAAAAAGGAAAAAAAAAAAAAAAAAAAGGAAAATGCCCAAACACTGGGTGAACCATTATGCTATGATACACCAAAACCATCAAAGACATTAAAAACAATGTTGCAGAAGACTAATTACATTTAATTAGACTGGAAACATTTCATAATACTGTTCATTCATTCAACCACTTCTTATTACATTCCCACTAAGTGCCGGGCAACAGGCTAGGTGTTAGGGAATTCAAGACGGGTAAGATGTGAATAAGAAGCTTATGTCTAATAAGCGGGCAACAACAATACTGTTGAAGTCATAAATACTATACTAGAAAAAGGTATCATAGAATACGCTGGAGCACTTGACCCAGTCTCAAGGCAAAGAATGGTTCGAAAAGGTTTACCAGAGATCAGGCCATCACAGCTGACATCTGAGTAGCCAGGCCAAGTTGAAGGAAGGAGAGGCTCGGAAGCTAGGAAACAGGCCCGAAAGCAGTGGGAGAGAACTATATGGAACAGCAGAGATGACAGGGGAGAAATATGCCAACCAGACTGCAAAGAGTCTGCACGTCATGCTAAGGAGCCCCGAGGGCAACAGAGTTACACGAAGAGGTGCCCATGAAACATCCAACTGAAGATTTCTGACAGGCATTTGGCAATAAGAATACAAAAAAGTCTTAGGGACTAGAAATGCAGATTTGGGGGTCTCAAATGGAGATAATAACTAAAGCCACCAGAACATGTAAGTTCCAGCAGGAAGTGTGGACAGTCCCCACAGAAGTGATGGAGAGGGCCAGGGATACCCCAACAGAAAGTGGCAGAGGAATAAAAAACATTCCCCTTAAACGTTAAGTGATCAAACTAGGTATATCTGTGTATTTTCAAATTTTATTTATACATTTGAAAAAACTTTATACATAGGAAAATGTTAACAGTGGTTACTCTATGTGATTAAAGATGACAGGTTTTACTTTAAAATCAATATAATGAATGCATAATTAGAACATATTTATCTTCCAAAGTTAAATTTTTTTTTCCTATTACACAATTCCTTTTTTTAAACTGCTAGGTTAGTAGAGGCTTAACCATAATGGAAATGCCGGAAGTCAAAAGGGGGAGGGGAAGGGGAACTGATATCTCCTAAGATTAACCTTCACTTTTTAAAAATTATTGTACATGTGATTTTTTTTCCTGCTCATACATGTGTGCTGCCCATGTACTCTTGGCATATTTCAATAAAAGTGTTTGGAACATAAAAGCGTTAAACGGTCCTTAATCAAACACAATGATAAATCACAGTAAAGTTGTTACTAAGGACAGGAGGGTTTTTAAACTTCTTTTAATACAACTAAATTAATTCTAAAAATATAAATTCAAAAGTCAATTTCAAAGAAATGGAATTACTTCGGGGGTGAGGGGAAGCTGCTCTTTAACACAGTAAAGCACATACTACTGTAATTACAAAGGTATCTGGAACATCACACACACACTTGCCCCCTCCCTCCCTTCCACTAGCAGTCCAGAAGTGCTGCCTCCTGCTGGGGGACAGCTCGGTTAGCCTCAGCTGCTGCCGCTGCCACACCCACCACTGCCCTTCATATTTATAGCCTGCACACAGGGTAAGGCAAGTCCTGTTACTTTCCCAACAGTGCAAATTTCTGTAAAGTTCAATACGTCACTCCACAGGACAAAGAATACCTTACAAAACTGGGAAAATAAACACACTTGCCTTCTCCCCTACAGTCAGACACCCAAGATGGGATGGAGCCTGATCTCCAAAGCAGAGCATTTACTGAGGCATAACCCAGAATGGGAGCAGGTGACTGAAAAAACAGCACTTCATATATAATGTGACCTATAATAAAAGAGACCTATAATAAAAGAGAAGCATGTGAACAAAATGTAGATATTAGTAGTTTGGGTCCAGAATCCTGACCCTGCTTGGAATCAGTAACTTGAGTTTTAGGTCCATGTTAAAATAAAGCATTTATTGACAGATAACCTTAAGATAATGAACTCCAAAGAAGCCCACAAGCAGATGTCATTAAATGACATTACATCATGTTTAAAAAAAAAAAAGCTCTGTCCTTGGAGAGTCTGAGGCCAAGGATTCTATCACTAGCTGAGTAAGTGAATTCTGACAGATCAGATCTGTGGGTTCAATTTTCTCACATATGAAAATGAGGGCACAGGGCTAGATTAGTGGCTTTCAACCTTTTCTTGTTTGTGAGCCACAGTAAGAAATACATTTTACATCAAGGTATCTGAATATACAAAAAGTTTCACAGAATGATATTTTCTCTTAGAATAAACTTATTAGGCAGAATAAACTTTGATAATTTTTCTATTCTATTTCAATATTTTTAAAAATGTTAACTGCAACACATGGTCCACTGTCTACAATTAAATAACACTAGATGATCTTTGAGCTGCCTTTTACTCTAATTGTACGTAATGCATTTAGGTTTAATATCTGCAACACAGCCACAAGGTGCTAAATTGTCTTTGTCCTGTGTTTTCGTAAAAGGCAACTACTTATTCCTGATGCATCCTTACTGTCCAGCTTGAGAAAACAGCTCTTAGGAACACTTTGATCACCTACATGGTGTGCGTAGAAAGTTGTGAAGATGGAATGAGGTAAGTACGTTTATATAAGCATTTTGAAACTGCTGTAACCAAGTGTCACATATTAACCAAATATACAAGAAGCTAATCAAATTCTTCACACAGCTGTTTTAAATCAGGCAATGAGATGAAACGTAGTATTTTCACTTTATTCCCAAGGTAAACTGCAAAACTGCTTTTTAAACATGTGTTTTTAACATATATAATGCACTTGGAGAGGAACCTCAGATTACATGGGACAAATGTACTGAAGACTTGAATGTAAAAAAATAAAATCAGGAAACATCTTAAATGTCTTTATAGAATCCTTGAGGTAGAGAAAGGTTTTCTTTATATGCCAGCAGCCCAGCAAATTTACCTAGGTCAAAAATAGATGTAAAAAAAAAAAAAGAAAAGAAAAATAGATGTAATAATTCCCCCCCGCCATTAATTTCAAAAGCGACTAAAAGAAAAAATTTGCACTAATGAGGTTTAAAAAAAAAAGCCTATAACATGTTTTCAGAATATAAAACGTACATAATGTTATCCACAACCCAGAAATTCCACCAGTAGAAACATATCTCAAGGAAATAAATTTGCAAAAATGTACAAGGATGAAGGGAATGGGAGGAGGAGGGACCAATACATACAATATGTACTGGTTAAAAAAAAAATCAGGAGTTACTCCTATTACCCTGGGTATCTCCCATGTATACATACGGTACACATTAGTAAACTTTAAAAAAAAAAAAATCCCAGTACGTCTAACTATACAATGGAACACTAGCCAGCTATTAAAAGTGGTAATATAGGTCTTTATTTATTAACATGGGAAGATGCCCACAATATACTCAAAAGATTATAAAGCAACACTTACGGTATGATCTCTTTTTGTTAAAAAAAAATTAATAATAACATTATACACATTTTTAGTGTCTGCCCAGACATATACCAAAATATGAATAGTGGACGTCTCTGGGGTGATGAGATCAGGCAGCTCACTCATACACTGCCTTTCTGAGAACTACAAGAAGATATGCTTTCTCCAGGCACACCCCATGCTCTAGGGTACACAGCCAGGTGAGCTGAGTATGGATTTCAGCCTCCAGGCACCACTCCTCCACATTTCCTTGGAGTGAGCGCCCTTATATTGGGATAGGATTATGGATAGCTTTCTCCTATTTACGCCATTCTCCGCTGGCTTACTACTATTACAATAAACCCAGAAATTTACTATTTGTTGATATTTTCGATTTTGAAAAAAAGGTCTTGCCTTAATCCTTCCAAAACTAATCCCAACTTTACTCGTACTACTCCCACTGCCCTTACATGATGCCGCATACTCTGATAATTTGTGCGTGTTATCTATTTAAATGCACGTACCAAATAAAATCTCTACCCCAAAAGCATATAATACAAAGGTTAGATAAGGAGCACAACCTGCACCAAGAAATGTCATTCTAACACAAAGTGCAGATACTTATTACTGGAAATGAGAAGGCACTGAGAAAGGTAGTCTACACAAATTAACCACTCTCCACCACTCAAAAATTCCTTCAGCAGAAAAAGTTAGTACACTCTAGAAACAATAATAACTGTTTACAGTTTTTTCCCCCATTTAATTCCAGATGCAAGATCTATTTCCTCATCACATTAGTGGGTTCCCCACAGACAGCCATTCGAAAAAAAATCGTGAGTGATTACCATGCAGTTAGGCAAGGCATCTGTAAAATAATACCACCGCTGGACTAGGATTAAAGGACAACTGGTTCTTTTCTTGGCTCTTTGGAATATGTAATTTTACACAAAGTAAAAACGCAACCTCTCTGGGGCTCATTTATCTCGTGTCTAAAGCATTGTTTGGGCTAAAAAACCTCCAAGGCCCCTTTCACCTTGTGATAGGACTTTAAGCCGCCTTTCCACTCTGGAGGAGCCGATTTCAAGCAGCAGCCAGTCTATTTTCTAAGTCAGAGCAAATTTACTCTCTTCGTGCTTCTCTTGACAATGTCATGCCCGAATAGTTCTCAACTCTAGAAATATTCTCACTCAGAAAAAAAGGTCTGTCATGACCAACTAACAAAATATTTTTCAAAAGGAAAGAAAAACTAGTTTACTTAAGTGTAAAGGGGGGAGGAGGAAGCGCACTAGTCCTTATTCAGATATAAACATAATTTTTCCAAAAAAATAAAGAGTCACTCTAAAGCAGCATCACACTGGCGGATGGTTTAAATATTTCTTTTAAAACAAAGAACCCATGCAGAGGAAAACTGCTAGCAAATTCAATCATCACACGTTTTGAAGGCACAGGGAAAAAACCTGTGCCATTCAGACCAGATTTACTTTCCCCCAATGAAGCACGTTGGTAAGAAAACCTGTGTCAGTAAAAAGGAATTAGGGAGAAAGCAACCTTTTAAAAGGTCTTTTCACTGTCCAAACTCAAGTGCACTTTCGTGTACCGTGTACTTCTGTGCTTAAAACATGAGTGCAGACCACACACTTAACACTCCACTCTTCCGACCAGCTGGGGTGGCAGCGTGGACGAGTCACAAGATAGCGGCGGGAGTGGAAATTTCCTCTCCCCGGGCGTGGGGCAAGGTCGGGCTTCCCCAAACCGCTCGGCGCCGCTGGCCGCCTCCGCCAGGCCTCTCCGGGCCGGCGCGCTCCGTACAAAGAAGGCCGGGCGCTCAGCCCCCACGCGCTCGGGGTTCGGGACAGGGTTTACCGGCTTCCGGCGCCGCAGGCCCGGGCAGCACGTGCGGCCCACTCCCGGCAGGGAGGAAGGAACCGGCGCGGCCCGGCGGCGGCTGCCAGCGGGCCCCGCAGCCTCGCTAGACCGCCGCCGACCCCGCGAGAAATGAATGGGGCCGCGCTGTTCCTCCGGCGCCGCCGCCCGCGTTCGAGTCTGGCGGCCGCGGCGAAAACCGCTGCGGGCGGAGGCAGCGGCGGCTCCCGCGGCCCCCGCGCGGGGAGCCGCCTCCCGTCTTCCCTTCCCACCCGACCCCGCCCGGCGCCCCCCGGACCGCGGCCGGCCCCGGCGCCCAACCGCCGCCCGCTCACCCCAGCTCTTGGCGGTGCGCCCCAGGAACTCTCCGGTGGTCGGGTTGTAGATGAAGAGCTTCCACTCGGCCAGGCTCTGGTTGAAGGACTTCTTCTCTTTCTTCGTCATGGTGTGCGTGCGGACGTCGAGGGGAGCGGCGGCCGCGGGGGTGGAAGCGGCGAGGAGCGCAGAGGCGCGTCCGGGCTCGAGCGGCGCAGCCCGGCGACGGCGGCAGAAGGCTGGACGGCCTAGGAAACCTCCTCTCTGTGGTGAGCGCTCGACCCGACTGCGCTGCGCCGCGCCGAGCCGGGCCGCCGCTCCGGCCGCGGGAGCCTGACGTCTCCGCCCTCCGCAACCAATCCCCGCGCCGTTCAGGCCCCGCCGCCGCCGCTACCGCCTCCAGCTGGCGGCGGGGCGCAGCTGGAAGCTGTGAAGACGCCCCGCCCACGGCCACGGCCCCGCTCGGTGGTACCCGGCTTGGCTCCGGGACGCTCGGCGCTCCCTATTCCCGGCAAGAAGAAGCAAAAACTACGTATAGCAACTTAAAAAATCATGAGAGCTTAATAAGAAGCAGATTTATAATGACAAGCAAAAGATGAGCATCCCTAACCCGCTGGTTTTTCAGAAGAACTCTGGGGAGATGCTGCGGGCAACCGGGATCCGGAGTCCCCTCGCTTCCTAGCCTGCGGCGGCGCGGGACTAGCAGAGAGCGGAAACGACTCCAGTCCACCGAGGACGGGACTTCACCACCGTCTCCCCAAACCGTTTCCAGGCGTTCTCCTCTGGGCTCTACGACGTGACTAAAAGATAATCCGCTGTAGTATCTCGTGAGGGTGTACGGTGTGTTACATACCTTCGCTCAGAGAATGCCCTGACTTCGCTCTTTTGAAGGAGTCAACTGGGAATCTTGGGTCAATGGGAATTTCATCCTAAACATGCCAGTATTAAGTAAATGCAGTATAGTTTTCCCCAGATTTAATTGAATTTATCAATGAAATCAATACACATGCTTTCCTGAGTTTCCTGTCAACCGCAAGACCTGCTTTTTCTCAAACACTTAGACTCTACAGGAAATCAATTCTTCGTTTAGTGTTGATACCTAAATACTGTTCGCGGCTTTTCATCTTTTCCACTGTATTGGTTGCTCCCCTTGGTCAGAGCTGAGGGTGCAGTCGATGTTTTCCTACACGAGATGGAGCTGAAGAGTACAGTGCTTTGAGACTGTTGGGACAGCATGAAAAGACTTAAATAGGAGTTTGGGCAGGAGGTGCTTTCTTTCTTTTCTTTTTTTGGAAAAAAGAAATGGAGCACTGCCTATGTTTTATTAGCAAATAAAAAATTATGAATGAAGAAATGTAGCACACATCTTACCGTTTGGAATGGTGCATCGTGATCCATCCGACAGTTTAAACAGCCAGCAAATGCTTTAAAGGAGTAAATGGATAACAAAATTCTGGCGTTGCTTTTGTTTCCTCACTTTGTTTATCAAAACAAGGAATTATGAATTATGTCTTTCACAAATGGAAAAGGAATAGAAGAATATATTATTATAAAATGATTTTCCCCCCGCGCTTACGAAAGCTAAATTTAAAATTATGACCTTGGGAATGATAACCAAATCCAGTTACTTTGTTGAGCCAATGACAGCAAAAGATTTGTAGAAGCATTTTGTAAAATTTGGCATGAAAATAGTACTACAAATAGCAAAACATCGTGCAAGCAGACTAGAATGCATTTCTTTAGTTCATAAATAAGGTCGAAAGGGAACTGAGGAATGGAAGTAGTTAACTATTTTTGTCTCATTAAAAATCTAACTACAAATTAGAGGACAGCTAAAATATTGGTAGAGCTGATAACAGGCTTTCTAGTTTGGGTAAGAGGGAAGATACAGAGTCTATTTGGAATAAAATATAAAACTGCTTGGACTTCCCTGGTGGTGCAGTGGTTAAGAATCCACCTGCCAAAGCAGGGGACATAGGTTCGAGCCCTGGTCTGGGAAGATCTCACATGCCGCGGAGCAACTGGCCTGTGCGCCACAGCTACTGAGCCTGCGCTCTGAAGCCCGCATGCCACAACTACTGAGCCCACGTGCCACAACAAGGAAAGTCACCTCAATGAGAAGCCCACGTACCGCAACGAGGAGTAGCCCCTGCTCGCCGCAACTAGAGCAGCAACGGAGACCCAACGCAGCAAAAAAACAAAAACAAAACAAAACAAAAAAGCCCTCTGCTTTATTTATTTTGTGTGTGAGTTAATAACACACAATAACACAATAAGCACACTTCAAGAAATAATTACCTGGCGCATACAACGAAAACATGGTAAACAAGAACTTTATGAAATAGTGTTTCAAAGATACTGAATGCTGTCAGATATTTGTGGCCATTAATATGCTTTTCATATGTAGTGCTTTGTGGTTTTCCAATTAAGTACTTAAATACAAATATAATTCAGTAAGTATTTTCAAAACTCATGCCTAGTTTAGTATAATACCCGATCCAACAGATTTCAGTTTGGGGAAAAGTTTACATCCTAATCCAAAATACAGGAACTATTTGTTTCACTGATACATGATACTTGAGCATTACTTGCAAGAGAAAATACTAAGTGTTTGGGGGGATATTGGCCTACCAAGTATGAACAGATGAAATATC